GTTTCGTCGCGTTGGAGAGAAAAGAAAAAAAAAAAAAAGAAACAAGAAGAAATCCGTCTCAGGACTTTTACGCTCGTTCCTGAAAACGCGCGATACGCGCATACGGGGTATGCGCGCGTAATTCACGAGCGTAGTCCACACAGTCTTCCCTCCCCCCTCCCCTCCCTCACTCTCTCTCTCTCGCTCGTTCTCGCTCTTCCTTTCTCGTTCCACCTGAGAACCACCGTCTCTCTCTCACTCTCTCTCTCTCTCTTCGCCTTTTCTCTCTCCCTCTCACGCCCTGCGTTCGCCGTGCGGACACACGGGATACTCGGAATAAAATCTTATCGCGTTACGCAGGTATACGAAACCCTCTGTTCGCCTATAGGCTAAACGGAGGATCTCGCGCTCGAGACGAACGGTCGCGGGGGGTTTTTTTTTTTTTTTTTTTTTCCTTTCTTTCTTTTCTTTTACCTCGGAAACGCTGTCCTCCTCGCTCTCCGACGAATCTGTCATAAAGCGCGGCTGCAGCTCGGAGAAGGTCTCGGTCTCCGACTTCGTGGGGCTCGAGTTCGAGGACTGGGGAGTCGACGACGTTTTCCCGGGATCGTGGTGAACGCTCGCCGACGATGGTAGGGCCGTCGTCGTCGTCGTCGTCGCTGCCGCCGTCGCCGCTGCTGCTGGCTGCGAGGCTGGCTTCTCGAAGCTTTTCTGGCTATCCGAGGTCGTTCCTTGTGCTACATTCTGCATCTTTACCCCCCCAGATAAATCATATGACACACAGTTACCCCGCCGATGTAGCCGCGTCGCGGTGAAGCACACACCGTACACTCGATACCCCGCCGCGACGTTGCGACAAATCGAATATTCAGGACACGAAGCTCTCGAGAGGCCGAACGGTCGTTCGTCATTCACGTAAGCTAATACCCGCCATTTTCACTATGGCCGACACAACGGCGAGGCAGGTCTCTTCCAATGTTACCCACTTCTCGCCTCTCTCGCTCGCGTTTCGTAGCTCCTCGCGGTTGGCTGCGCCGCGGAGTCGCAGTGATAGCGTATCCGTTTCGTCGCGCGCGGCGCCCCGCTTAAGCGATTCTGATGTTTCACGTTCCGCGGCGTTCGCGGCGACACACTGCCACCAACTGCCACGCGACTCGCGCCACGCGCACGCGCGTGGCGCGTAATTTCAATCTTACTTCCCTCAGTGTCGCTCCAAAATTAGACTACGCATTAAAGATTGAGATTCAAGAGTGAAAATTAAAATTTGACCAATGTGAGGATAAAGGAATTTTAGCTCCTATTATTTTGATTGGCCAAATTTCAATCTTCAATCTCAATCTTCAATGCGTAGTCTGATTCCGACCTAATGCCAAAATCAAATTACGCATTAAAGATTGAGATTAAAGATTGAAAATTAATATTTGACCAATGTGAGGATAAAGGAATTTTAGCTCCTATTATTTTGATTGGCCAAATTTCAATCTTCAATCTCAATCTTCAATGCGTAGTCTGATTCCGACCTAATGCCAAAATCAAATTACGCATTAAAGATTGAGATTAAAGATTGAAAATTAATATTTGACCAATGTGAGGATAAAGGAATTTTAGCTCCTATTATTTTGATTGGCCAAATTTCAATCTTCAATCTCAATCTTCAATGCGTAGTCTGATTCCGACCTAATGCCAAAATCAGACTACGCATTAAAGATTGAAATTGAAAGATTGAAATTTGACCAACGAGAATAAAGGAATTTCAGCTTGTATTATTTTGATTGGTCGAATCTCAATCTTTCAATCTTCAATCTCAATCTTCTATGCGTAGTCTGATTCCGATCTAATGCCAAAACAAAATCAGACTACGCATTAAAGATTGAGATTAAAGATTGAAAATTAATATTTGACCAACGAGGATAAAGGAATTTTAGCTCCTATTATTTTGATTGGCCAAATTTCAATCTTCAATCTCAATCTTCAATGCGTAGTCTGATTCCGACCTAATGCCAAAATCAGACTACGCATTAAAGATTGAAATTGAAAGATTGAAATTTGACCAACGAGAATAAAGGAATTTCAGCTTGTATTATTTTGATTGGTCGAATCTCAATCTTTCAATCTTCAATCTCAATCTTCTATGCGTAGTCTGATTCCGATCTAATGCCAAAACAAAATCAGATTACGCATTAAAGATTGAAATTGAAAGATTGAAATTTGACCAACGAGAATAAAGGAATTCAGCTTGTATCATTTTGATTGGTCAAATTTCAATCTTTCAATCTTCAATCTCAATCTTCTATGCGTAGTCTGATTCCGATCTAATGCCAAAACAAAATCAGATTACGCATTAAAGATTGAAATTGAAAGATTGAAATTTGACCAACGAGAATAAAGGAATTCAGCTTGTATCATTTTGATTGGTCGAATCTCAGTCTTTCAATCTTCAATCTCAATTTTTAATGCGCAGTCTGATTCTGGCCTAAGATAGAAAGTTTGTAAGAAAATATCCATTCGTGATAACGAAAGAACGTCCTGCTAGTTGTTGGTAACTTTTCATTAATAAAAGAAAAACAGAAATTAATTGCTGTATACTTTAAGCTACACACAAACTAATATTTCAACATTTAAATAAAAAAAAAATAAAAAAAAAAGAGATAACGTATCACTAGATAGCGTCATAGATTGTAACTGATTTCAAGTAAACGCAAAAGAAATAATCTATGATGTTTTGAAAAAAATATTTTACAAAATTTAATTTACAAATATAAGTACTAACGCAAAAGAAATAATCTATCTATGATGTTTTGAAAAAAATATTTTACAAAATTTAATTTACAAATATAAGTACTAACGCAAAAGAAATAATCTATCTTTGATGTTTTGAAAAAAATATTTTACAAAATTTAATTTACAAATATAAGTATTAAGTTCGGCGCGCAATTTTGGGGGGACTATATATATATATTAATAGAACGTTATTTCCTACTTTGGAGAAATATTGCGAAGAATATTACTACGTCGACTCGCCATCAGAGGTCTATCGATATTCGCAAATTCTCGCAAGTGCTAAGACACGCGTATATCTCTTTATATAGAATCTCGATTTAAATACCTTACCAAGGCGTATAAGGTAGGCTTCCACTACAATGCCTTACTGACGAATCCAGTAGTGGAAGTCGGGACGAAACGCCAAAAATTACGTGATATTCTTCGCAATATATATTAGAATGAATTATCAGATTTGGATTACAAATTGTAATTTGACTCTTATTCGCCCTACTTAACGTGTTAATTATTATTAAATAAAAGAGTCCTTCAAATCTTGAATTCATAAGTACTAAGATAACGCTTGTTATTTTACAAAAACGACAAAATTAAGATATTGAATTTCGGTATTACAATTAAGCAAGTGATGTAAAAAAAATTGTGAAATTATTACAATAAAGTTTGTCAACTGTTTACATCGATTGCTTAATTATAATACCGAAATTCAATATCTTAATTTTGTCGTTAATTTACAAAGATAATTTTTTGTATTATTAAATATACGGAAAGATTAATCTAACGATCACATAGCTAAAACTGTTCGATCGTATAATAAATATATTTTATATTTTATTTGTAAAATCACTTTTACAAGATAGACAAGTTTTAGCATGAGCTTTTAGCATAAGCTTCTGTAGCACGAGAAACATGAATTCCACTTATGATGAAAGCTCCATTTTAACTTTGCACATTATTTATTTTCTCTCATTACAAAAACAGTTCAATGTTTATTTCCATCGCGGAACACGGAATATTTAAATCAAACTTCGAAAGTACATCGGGATGTAAGACTCCCATTTTTCCTATCACTTCACCATAACAGACAATTTCGGCGCATCGTTGAGGGAAGAACATCGGGTCTGCAAAATACACATGATGAATTCTTCTGTCGTTTTTGTTTTCTCAAACAGAGGAGAGGAGAGAAGGTTGGAAAAGCATGCATCACATACCATCAGCTGCACGTAGATAGTATCCACTTTTATCTTTGTTAGCGTTCCAGGGTATCTCTAATAGTAACAGAACTCTATCTACTAGACCATGAATTATCTCAAAACCAGCCGACTTATTAGCGTATACCGCGCACAGACGGCGATTGTTGCGCGCACCAACTTCCGCTGTGTCGTCTCGTAACACAACGTCGGAAACTTCGAACAATTTGTGAGGCAGAGGCATCCTTTTATTCGCCGATACCGTTTTAAGCAGCCCCGGTAAAAGTGAGGTACGCGCAACCTGCACAACAAAATATACAGTCATCAAAAGCTGCTATTACAAACACATTTTAATGGAAACTGTAGTTAAGAACAGAACCGCTCTCAGGTCTGATTATATATACTTCCCGCTGTTTCAATGGAAGCTTAATGTATATTTCGTTTACCTGAAACTCCAAAGTTTTTGGATTGGATATATGAACTACTGGTACATCCTCTATTTTGTATCCTAATTTGTCCGCTACATCTTCACGTGAACACTATAAAATAATCGATCGTAAATTAGGGTGCATTGAAAGTTGCAAGCAGTGTTTTCCGTTATCTAGATAAGATTATCTAGATAATCATCTAGATGAAGAAGTGGTTTTACCTTATCTTTATCTAGATTATTGAGAACATATACTATCTTTATCTTATCTTAGATTAAAAAAAGTTGTCTTTTTCAATTTATCTAAGATTGTGGAAGAGTACTGTAAGAAATTTTTATGTAAACAACCTCCAGTAGTAGTAGTGATGAAGATTTTTTTCGGCGATATAGACAAAAAATTGGGCAGTTTGACACCAGTCATTCAAAGCGACATTGAAGTATTTTCATATTTAGAAAACAAATCAAAAGAATTAAATATTCCGAATTTATATCCACACATTAAACAAATTTTTTAAAACTATAATACATCATTGCCATCATCAGCGCTAGTAGAATGTCTTTTTAGTTGCGGATAACAAATATTAATTCCATGTAGAAACCGTTTATTAGATGATATATTCGAAAAACTTTTATTTAAAAAAGATAAAGATTTATAAAATATTTATGAAATATTTATAAAAATAATGAATATATTTTTTGTATCCTAAATCGTTTTACTACCAAATAATTACTTAAAAACAAAATTATCTAGATAAAAATTTTTTCAATCTCATCTTTTATCTAGATTAATATAAAATGAATTATCTGCATCTAATCTAAAATACATTTTTGTGTAATTTATCTTATCTATATCTAGATAATTTTGAATTATCTAAGCGCAACGCTGGTTGCAAGATATTTTGAAGCGTAAACAAACTTTTTCGAAACATACCAATGAAAAAGTCAGTGCTTCGGTGAATCCTGCTTGGGCCAATTCTACCCGTATTTGATCGGTAAGTTTGTTGAGCGGAAACTGTAATTCACATATGTATACATAAATACACAAGTTGTACATCAATGCATAGAGAATCATATTCCAATCATAGGACATTTACTTCTGCCGCGATTGTCGATATATTCGGTATAGTTTTTTCTATCTCGTTATATCCGTAAGCGATAGCGATGTCTTCATAAATATCGCAAGGATGTATCACATCGTGTCTTGTCGGTGGAATTTCTACCATTAATGTATCCGTATCTTTTATCTCCGATTTTAGAGACATTTTTGACAGTAAGTCTGCGACTTGATCTGGAGTCTGTCTAGAAAGGGAATGTTTTCAAATAATACAACATGTAGTTTACGCCTGCAATCATTATTTACACCGTGGGAAGGTTTAATTACGTACTTGATACCAATGTAACTGATCGCTTTATTGCAGTTAATTTCCTCCGTTCGATATTTTAATTCTGGATAATAGAAAGTTCGATTATCGGGATACACTACTTCCACAATTTCTGCTGTATATTTTGTATCGCAATACTGACTGAAAGCACAGACTATCGTGTCCAACACTATCTTTGCCTGCGGATAATGTGTAATAACTTGTAACAATTCGAAATAGAATTGTGCATGTAACACTTCATACATCAATAATATTAATTTATCTTATATTTTTGAATTATTAGTTCTATGTAAATACTGCTTGCAAATAGAAATATACAGAGCATTTATACAACGTATAAATGTACATACATATTACCTTTGTAAGATCAGTTGCTGTGCACTCAATAAAAATATTTTTCGTATCAAGTGTGATCTTCGAATGATCTCCATTGATAATAGGAGGGAGAGATAAAACAACTCCATTACTATCGTACACCACGGGATAAACAGGACTGTCTTTTATGATGGGCAAATATTGTTTAAGCTGAGCATGTGTCTGTAAACGTTAAAAATATATTACAACAAATATAGGTATCAAGTTCCTTTCTTTATACGTAAAATTATTCATGGAATCAACAAGTATACATAAGATAAGAATAATACACATTGAAAAGGGACATTTCAAAAGTTAAATAAATTACAACGTCTAAGTTATGCAGACATAAGCATACAATATATTAATCTAAAGTCCCTTAACATATTTAAAATTACTTAAACCTTAAATTACTTAAAATCTAATTAAACATACTTAAAGTAACCAGTTTCGGCTCCTGGATTGAGCCCTTTTCAGACATTGGATTATCGCTCGAGTATTACAAGAGCGATTTACTTACTCAGGCCCATTGGACGAGCTACAGATAGGGCCATATGAGCCGATGGGTCTAAGGGCCACCGCAAAAGCTTTTCCGCGTTACGTTGCGTTAAGGGGTAAAACCACTCTAGGGCACGAAAACTAAGCCTAACTTTATGAATTTCTTTTCGGGAACGTAACGAAAGAAATAAAAAAATGTATTTTAGAGATCTTCGTTGTACATCCCAGTATCTGAGAATGGATTGAAATTGATTAAAATGGATTCAGATTTTCAGAAATACGGATTCATGAATGTTAAAATGAATCCATTTCAATCCGAATACATTTCTATTCATTTATAGGAATCGCATGGAGCATATCTGTATACCTTTTCAATCTAAAAATAATATTAGTTTTTTCAGTGCGTTTGTGACCATAGTGAATACTGTACAATTCAAAATTTTGAATAGAAAACGCTTATCAATCCAGGTGCATCCAATTGAATCCAAAAAAAAGTTTTCGCTGTTTAAAATACGAATTCGAATAGACAAAATGTCCAATCCATTTTAATCCATTCTCGGATGCTGGGATACATTGAAGTGTAAAAAAATATTTTCTTATAGTAATTTTGATACAAAATTGGCGGCAATCTACAGCTCTGCAATGGTAACGTTTTCTCATGAACGATAACTCCAACAATTTTTAATCTAGAACAAAAAACCAAAATTTTTTTAAATCTACATTCCATAAAGCTAGAGAAAGAACATACGGAATTGCAATATATCGTTTTTTGAAAAAATGGTACGAATTTGAAATAAATGTTAAATTTAAAGGGTAAAAAATAGGCGAAAAATTGTTTATATAAAAAAAGTATGCACCATAAAAAAAAAAATCCGTACGTCTTTCTCTAGAGAATGCAATTTTGAAACTACAGTTAAAATTTCAAGTAAATCGGTCAAGATTTGTGGAAGTTATATATTTCCGGCCAGCTTGGAAAAAAGTGATTTAAAGTGATTTCGAGAAAAATGCATTTAAAGTTTTATTTAAAAAAAATTAAGATAATCAACATGTGAATAAATCCAAAAGAAATAATAAAAATGTCAATTTGAGCCAACACAAGTTATCAGCGTGTATTTTTTATATGTATATATAAAATCTTTATTCACAATGAACAATTAAAACGTATACGATTCGACCCTCGTTCAGGTTCTCTTCAGTACAAAAAAATATCAATTAAATATAAATCATGAAGTGTGAAAAGATCTTACAATTAGTGATAATATCCAAAAAGAAAATCAAATCTTGTGATCAACAATTCATAGGTTTACTAAAAAGTTAGAATAAATTTACAGAGAGAAATTTTTAAAGAAAATTTCTTTAATAAGACATATGATAAATTGACTTACATGATTGTCAAGATTAGACTATTGTCATTGTAGTACTTGTGCCAGCTCCATTACACCGCTCAGTTTATCATGTAGTTGCAATTATGAATAAATTAATATGTAATTATATTATACGAGTAATTGAAATCAAAATTTATGGTTCACTTACGTGGAATTTAAAAGGAAGTTAAAGTTTTATGTAACACAATCAGCGATAGAAATATTTACCTTTAATCTGCGATGCCTGCATCATACAATAGGCCTTCCTCGTTCTTTCCTTCCTAATCCTTCTTAGCTCGATTTTAGAGATGATCGAGTCGCACGTAACTAATTCTTTTGTTATTTTTAGGACCCTTTCGCAAAAACTACAAATCTTATCAAAAAGTACAGCGCTTTAAACTTCCAGACACTTAGGAATTTTTCTTCGCTATAAGACCTTTTGTACCTTATTTCTAAGATCTTGAAGCATCATTTAAGAAAACAAAGATTTTTTGAAAATATTTTAGAGTGCCTTTACCCCTTAAGTATTGACCGAAGCTTAAATTCATACCTAATCTTAAACTTTATATTCAATCTACTGATAAAAAAATACAATCATTATTATTTTATGTTATGTTACATTTTTTGTTTGTGCGTTGATTAAAGTTTAAAATTATGTGCGAATTTAAGTTTCGCTCAATAGTGAATGCAACACAATGCGTTACAGAAAAGCTTGTACGGCCTATTTCATAAAAAATTTAGACTCACTGAATGTACAAATTACAAGATAACAAGGTGACATAAAATATAACACACAAAAACTTCCATGAGACAGACAAGTATATAAAAATCATTGAAAAATCGTAAAAAGATCATAAAGTAAATTTATATTAAAAATTTATGTATTATACGTTTCTTTTGATGTCAAAAGGATACTCTTTTCACATTAAACAATGATAATATTATTGACAATCTTGCTCAGAAAAGTTCTTATCTTAGTAAATTATTATCATAAAATAAAAAATTATTATAATACAGCTATTATAATTAAATAAAAAGCTATAATTCTTACAATTCTTTACCTATAATATAATAAGTATAATTTTGTTTTGTTTCTGATTGTGTGTACGTATAACTATGTGTTTAACTATGCGTGGGCCGGTGTGATATAAAACTCAGGCCAAAAAAATCTCCCAATCCGACTTTGTACTTACTGCATATAATTGCATGATTTCTTCTCCCGTGTATTCTCTATCTTGATAAAGCGGTTTGAAATGTATCTTTGATGGTGATTTGGCATCATATAGAAATGGGCCTTTAACTGTATCCAAATCGTGAGTGCCAATAGAAACTAGACTACGTTTTCTTCCTATATTCTGATGCAGTTTATCTTGAAGATCGATAAAACTATTATAAGATTCTTGTGTCAAAGTAACGTCTCTTAAAATTGCGGCAACTATATGTCCTCTTACTTTTAAGCACTAAAGAATAATGAGATGGACAGTTTAGTACTGAATAAGATGTGTAACATAAAAAAAATTCTTTTCATAGATATTATATAATACTACCTCTGGGCTCATCACAATCCTTTCCATTTTTATATTTGGTTTTATTGCTTTGTAACGTGGTATGGGTATCCTGTGTATCGAGGAAAATAAAACATGTATGAAATTTTTTTACCTGAATTTAAAAAGCATGCAGTGTAATATTTACTTGTTCAAAAATATAAGCAATCCAGTGGTTAGACTCTCCAAGCACAAAAGATCATATCTGTTAGCAGGTATATCGATTTTGTAGATAATCTCTTCAGAGGCATCTATTGTACCTTGGTCAAAGCCATATTCCTTTGCTAACATTTGTTTCTCCGTTGTCTGTGTTTACAAAAGATCAAGTAGGTAATTATTGTAAAGTACAATACAAAATACGCAAATTATTTGATAGTTCAACACTTACCACTTCATCTAGCTCTAAACCAAATTCGAAGCATAATGCTTGGAACTCATCTTCGGCTAAACCAAGGTTTAAAATTAAGAGATTAAAATGTTTATAATACATAAACTAACTTTACTGACACTACGATAACGCATCAGTAAAAAATATGTAAGGAAAGGCTCCTATTACGAGTATACTGAGTTTACTTTCAGTAAATGCTAGAAGTTTGTAAGCAGAATTTAAAAAAATAACAGATCATTTTGAAGAGAATTTAATAAGCTTTAAGATAGCGTTATGTAAAATTTAATTCAAATTTTATTTTATTTTCTAATTAAAGAAATATAAAAGGCGAACAAATCGCAAAGTCAAAAAATTGTGCTCCTAATATGAGATACCCCGAGAAATCGATAATAAAGCACAAAGTACATCAGTATTAGAATTAAAAATACTTTACTTGATGTTTCTAAAATACAAACGAGTACAATCTGTGCGCGTAAATTGATGCATGTGATGCATTGTACTCTGGATTTGTCTTCAGTAATTGGAACGAAGTATTGCAGAAACAGAACCTCAATGTTCATTCCGGTTATTCTTTTTATTATTGTACAATAACATTTATACTTTAGCATCGATTTTCACTTGGATACAGAAGTATAGATTATTTCATATTAGAAGTATCTCATATCACGAGTATCACGTCTTACAATTTTACGATCATCAAATCTAACTTCTTCAATTAAACAATTCAACATATTCCGTATTTTTCTATCAGTACGATCTTACTCTATTACTACATGAAGAATTTATTACCAAATAATCTACTTATTAAATAATAAACAAAGATTAAAGGCTTATCTCAATGAAACTCGAAAACATTCAAATTCTAAAATTTTATTTCACAATTACTGTAGGCATGATCTAACAATGAATTTTTCACTAAATAGTTTTCCATCCAAGAGCAATAATTTCATGGTAGAATCAACAGGTAGCATTTATTAGTTTAGCAGAAACGCCGCTATCTCATATTAGCGCCTTTCCTTATTTATAATTCAGAGTTGGGTAGTAACTAGTTAAAACGTTAAGTTAAAAAAAAGTTAAAAAATTAATAACTTTTAACTTAACTTAGTTAATTTTAAATGCATTAAATTTTAACTTAACTAAGTTATTTTTAAACGTTAACTTTTTAACTTTTTTTTAAGTTAAAACATTTTTTTATCTTTTTTAAATATCTTAGAAAAATCATAAGATATAATAAGACTAAGGCCAGAATCCATAGTCCGAACATAGTCTAAATCTCAAGGAATGTCTTAAGATGCTAATACGGCTCTCTGATTGGTTCATGCACTAGTTTAATATTTTTATTGATAGTTTATTTTTAACTTAAAATGTAGTCACTCTTGTATCTTTTCTATGTGATGGCTGTTTTTTTAAAGTTATATAACTTATATAGTTATATCGTTATGTGTTATATACTTATATCACACATGTAAATAAAAAAATAAAAAATTTAATTTACTTAATAATCTATATTGTAGTTATTTAATCTCATTTTAAGAAAAATTAGGACATTTTGATCTAAAAAATAATTTTTTCCGAAATTAACTTTTTTTTCAACTTGAGTTAATTCAATATTGACTTAACTTACGTTAAATTAATTTTTTATTCCTGTAACTTTTAACTTAACTTTATTAATTTTGTAAAGCCATTAACTTTAACTTTATTCAGTTAAAAAAAAACATTAACTTACCCAACCCTAATATATATATATATATATATATGTGTGTGTGTATATAACTTACAATATGTTTTGCCTAATGCTTCAAATAGTAAATCACGTTTTATTCCAATAGTTGGCATCTTTGTACTAGGTAAAGGTGCAATGGAGGGCAATCCTCAGGCTTCTAATCAAGTAACCTGTCATATAGAACTTTTAGGTTAGGTAATATTACCAAAACATATTTCCATCAAATTTATTCTAAAATTAGTATGTCTTTTTTTTTTATTTGACTTAATAATCCTGTTTATAAGAAACAAACTATTTTAATCGCATGGAGAAATTGTCACATACACCGGAACGTTGGAATTGTTGGAAATGCGAAGTGAAGAGGTAAAATCTGCGTAGGTTTACTTTACAGCAATAATAGACACGTGAGAGAAATATTTATCTTAGAGGTTTATTCATTGGCTAACATCTCTCGTCTACGTTTTTATTTTCTCCCGAGGAGAACGTTTATTGATGAGAATATTTACCTCGCGAAAAATGTAAGAAAAATTATAATACCGATTCTGCAGTCTTGTCATTGCAGGTTGTAGGTTATGTTTGCGCGGGATCCACTGCGCCGCTTTAGAGCTTTTTTGAATTTAAATGAATGTACATGAAATATATAAATATATACATATATATATTCGTAAAAATGACAGTTTATTACATAAAAACATTATAACACAAAAATTATAACGCAACTTATAAAGTATAGAGTTTGTACACAGTCATATATTATTTATTTCATTTTTATTAACAACCGCAGTTATACTTTTATATTATAGTATAGGTAGAACTTAATTGAAACATATTATGATACATGAAAGAACAGAAGAGAACGCTTTACATACAAAGGTATCAAAAGCTATTAAATCTATCGCCGTGAAATTAAGTTTATAACCAATGCACAGTTATTTTTGTATCAATGTTTGTTTGTTCGGAAATATTCAGCTTTGTATGCCTGACAAGAGCACAAATAATACTTGATTCGATTCATAATGTGTCTAATCTTTATTTATACCTATAAATATCTTGCTCGAAGTATACATCAGGAGATACGCGTAGTATCTTGGCGCTAAGAATGCAGCAGAAAAAGCAGTTTTGCAACTGTTGTAAAATTCTTTGATATGATTGGTCTTGCCCTAACTTCCTCGCTGAATCTAAATGTATAAGTCAATTGGCTGCGTTCAGCAGAAAAAGCAGCTTTGCAACTGTTGTAAAATTCTTGAATATGATTGGCTTATACATTTAGATCTAATGAGGAAGTAAGGGCAAGACCAATCATATTAAAGAATTTTGCAACAGTTGCAAAGCTGGTTCCTCTGCTGAACGCAGCCAATCGTATTCAAGAATTTTACAACAGCTGTATTTTCTGCTGAATGGAGCCATTGGATGTACTTCAGAAAAATGTCTAATGTATTTTAGATCATACATATACATGTGTGTGTTGTGTGTACAGATTATAAAGACCTTTACCTAAATGGTAGACAGATGTCAAAGAATCTTCCTCGGTAATACTTGTTACAAAACTCCCATTATTACAAGTTGGTTGAAAATAACTTGTACTTCAGCGTAAGCAACCACTGTACCAAACAATTGCAGAAAAAAATAGAAAACTTTTGCAGATCTTGACGGTCACTCGTTTTAATTGATCAATGAGCTGATCATTCTGGAACACAAATTATACATATTAGAACCAGGGTTGAGTAGTAACTAGTTAAAACGTTAAAAGTTAAAAAAAAAAAAGTTAAAAAGTTAATAACTTTTAACTTAACTTAGTTAATTTTAAATGCATTAAATTTTAACTTAACTAAATTACTTTTAAACGTTAACTTTTTAACTTTTTTTTTTAAGTTAAAAAATTGTTTTATCTCTTTTAAATATCTTAGAAAAATAATAAGATATAATAGGACTAAGGCCGGAATCCATAATCCGAACATAGTCTAAATCTCAAGATGTTTTAAGATGCTAATACGGCTTTCTGATTGGTTCATGCTCTAGTTTAATACTTTTATTGATAGTTTATTTTTAACTTAAAATGTAATTTTAAAAAATGTAATCACTCTTGTATCTTTTAAAGTTATATAACTTATATAGTTATATCACATGTGAATAAAAAAATAAAGTTTAATTTACTTAATAATCTATATTGTAGTTATTTAATCTCATTTTAAGAAAAATTAGGATCTACAACATTTTGATCTAAAAAATAATTTTTTTCGAAATTAACTTTTCTTTCAACTGGAGTTAATTCAATATTGACTTAACTTACGTTAAGTTAATTTTTTATTCCTTCAATTTTTAACTTAACTTTATTAATTTTGTAAAGCCATTAACTTTAACTTTATTCAGTTAAAAAAAAAAAGAAACATTAACTTACCCAATCCTGATTAGAACAAGATTAGAGTTATATTAAATAAAGTTCATAGATTGATGCAAGATGTTTGTGTGTGTGTGTGTGTGTGTGTGTGTGTGTGTGTGTGCGTAAGAGAGAGAGAGAGAAAGAGAGCGCACTTACCCATACAGATAATAAAAAAATGACAAAAGGTAAAACGCTAGTTTAATCCATCCTTCTCTATGGTACATGGACAAGTCATAGGCATTCATTATGCTCGTAGGATCATATAGGCCCGATTCTGTCATCAAAGGCCTGTTCATGTATCGCCATACATGATAAGCTATGAGCGGGATGTTGATAAACAGCGAAAAGTATTGCTCGCTAATCAAAAATAAAAGATTGATCACAATGTGCAGTATATACTCTGGTAGAACGAGCTGAAATCAAGATGTGCAACGATTAAAGAATCATCGACGTTTCGGTAAACAAAACATTAGCACACTACAGTAATAATTTGCCAGCAGCATTTATACAGAATAATTGGCATCGACTGCATCTACGTTAAATCCAAGAAAATCTGCCAAATGTCTTTTTTTTTTTTTTGATAAATTTAAATATCTATAGCACTGTATTATTTTATAGTGTCATCCAATACACATTTATTCATGTCTTACCGGATTTAAGTTGTTACATTGATCGATCGGATTTTTGTATCCAGTCTTCAACTCGTCAAATGTGATTACCTGAAAAGTTTAATAAAAATCATTAATTACAGACATATATTAATACATTATCGCGATACGTATAAATGTTATTCGTCGTTAAGGTTATATCACAATTATATATCGGTGTATTTCGCGGCTTCTCGCTACCGTGAATCACCGTGAATTACCGCACGAACGTCTCTTATGTGACACGTACGTGAAATATCGCGAAAAATATTAGAAACGCGTCACCGATTAAAGCCACAATGTACGAAAATGCGGCTAGATTAAACGCCATTCTGCACGTAGGTGAATTGCGACGTATGGACCAGTGATCAGTGTGGATGAGTATGGACAAAGCCACCGGCGAATCGCATTCCAGATATCAAGTTGATCACGTGACAAGCTCGCATTTATCTGCTACGAAAATATGTAAAAATACGCGACTACTTTTTATTCGCATTCTGTCGTTATCGATTAATCATTTCATAACGGTTTTTTTCTTTTTCCTTGTGTTTACATCTTTGTTAGATCAGCCAATTTCTTATCTGAGCTACTTATAATGTCTATTTTGTGTTACAAATTTCAATTTATTGATAAAATGTTTCTATAGAAACGTAAAATTTTGCCGACAAAATATGATGATAGATTAACTGCGAAAATCGAATAAAATGTATATATAGTGTTTTCCGTTATCTAGATAATCATCTAGATGAAGAAATGGCTTTATCTTATCTTTATCTAGATTATTAAGAATATATATACTATCTTTATGTCGACTTTATCTTATCTTAGATTTTAAAAAATGTTATCTTTTTCAATTTATCTAAGATTGTAGAAGAGTATTGTAAGAAATTTTTATGTAAACGATCAACCTCCAGTAGTAGTAGTGATGAAGATTTTTTTCGCGATATAGACAAAAAAATTGGGTAGTTTGACACCAGTCATTCAAAGCGACATTGAAGTATTTTCATATTTAGAAAACAAATCAAAAGAATTAGATATTCTGAATTTGTATCCACACATTAAACAAATTTTTTTTAAATATAATACATCATTGCCATCATCAGCGCTAATAGAACGACTTTTTAGTTGCGGATAACAATTAAATATTAATTACATGTAGAAACCGTTTATTAGATGATATATTCGAAAAACTTTTATTTAAAAAAGATAAAGATGTATAAAATATTTATAAAAATAATGAATATATTTTTTGTATCCTAAATCGCGTTTTACTATCAAATAGTCACTTAAAAACAAAATCATCTTATATAAAAATTATCTAGATAAAAATTTTTTAAACTTCATCTTTTATCTAGATTAATATGAAATGAATTATCTGCATCTTATCTAAAATACATTTTTGTGTCATTTATCTTATCTATATCTAGATAATTCTGAATTATCTAAGCACAACACTGTGTATATGTATATTATTTTCCAAATATTTAAATGCAATGACACATAATTTTATTAAGAGATTCTGTTATATTTCTGTTTGATTCTCTTGATTTTTCAACTAGTGGAATATGATCACAATTTGGATGCCAATTGATGTCAATCAGTTGTAACGTTCTACTTAAATCTACTGGCAACTATATAATTGTGCTGCTAACATTTTATTTACTGAGAATTTTTCCAAAGAGGGTTTTTTTAAATTTATAAACTATTTTTTTTATTTTTTTTTTAGGAATAGGAGGTAAGGATATCATATATTGTATGTGTGGATTTTGAGACATGCTCAAAATATTCTATTGCTTTTGACAGCAACATATAAAGCGTATTTACAGTTCAGTTGTGAATAAAATTCAGAAAAACAAAAGGACTCTTTTTTTTTTTTTTTTATACAAAATAATAAACACAGAAATGGCATTGTAAGAGTCAAATAATTAAGAGCGATATTCTAAACAACAATTAAACCATATATTTTAAATTTTAGCTATTGTGACAAAACTTAAAACTAACTTATGATACAACATTAAATGACAGAGATATATTACATTATATTACATTACATTATATTACTAGTTTCGACCGCAAATTCTGGTCCTCTTCAGTTGTGAATAATATTACAATAAATAATCGATGAATAAATTCTTTTCTCTTAAGGCTACCTTTCGATTTTACTGTACAAATTTAAAAATGGAGCAAATTACATACATTTCTATAAAAATAATTTTCTCAAACAGTCCTAGTAAGATCTGAACTCACATAAGTATGATTAAGCAAGTGTTGAGATTCCACTCTATTAGTGTTTGCTGCCTCTTGATTGTTCCATCTTGAATTATAACTCGAAAGCATTTCCCTTTTGGGCCTCAACATGTGCCTGATATTACCATAATGTATATCCATTTCTTTAAAAGTGTTCAATAAGAATATGGCAATTATAACTATGAGAAAACCGCAAGAGGCTCCTAAAATATTTTCTATGCTCATCTTCGTCCATTCCCTGAACAAAATCGCGGATGCTATTATCACTAGAGTTGTAAAGAAGACGTAATAGACTGGCGTCACGATAGACGTCTCGAACAAATCCAGTAATTTATTCAGATAATTCATCTGTATCGTGATACAGAGAATAACACTAAATATAAAAACCCACGTCAACCAATTGGCAAACGCGTTATTCTCACCAGAGATAGTCTCCTTCAATGCCAAGCCCAAGCCTTTGCAACTCATGACGGTCAAAGAGCCAACAGACGAGCACAAACAAATATACACCATGATATTTTGCTTGCCATATGTTGGACCAAAGTAAAATATGATTGACAAGGTAGACATTACTACGATTAAAACGTATAACATATAACTCGGTTCTCTTATTTTAATAATCAGTTCACTTAGACTGCTGACCTCCTCTTCTTTCGGTGAATGTAATACTATTATCGTGGAACCTAAAATACATAAGAAACAACCCATCTAGAAAAGAAAAAAAAACATGATAAATTGCAGTATTTATATAGGGAATATATACTATTATTTTCAACATTAACGTTTCTGCCTATACAAATGTTTTCCACACCTTTCCCAATAGATTTAGTTTTTCATTAAGATATCTAGATGCTAATACTGCTGATACTAGAACGCTTAAAGCACCCAATGGTGTTACAAGCGATGCTGGTGCAAATGCATACGCAACAAAGTTTGCTGCTTCTCCTATGCCCACTGTAACATTTATTTTGAATTTCGTTTTGAGTTTTTACGTGAATGTTGTAAAAAATTGTGTCTAGAACATCTTTTGCAATTAATTATACATACTAGATAAGAGACCAGTCCACCATATCCATTCTTTTAAATAGCCAAAACCACCAGACGATGCACGCAGTCCACCATACTTTTGGAGTTGGATTAAAGCCTTCTTTTTTATGATAAAACTGGCACCTAAATTAGAAAATATAATATAATAACACAAAGAAATAATTAATTTTTGTACATTTTTAAAATATTTTCGGCTGTTTTTTTATGAAAACAAAGCAAAATTAAATAATAATGCTGGTAGAGATTAAATGTAAAATATTACATTTTGATATAAAATTCTGAATTATAATACAATATATTACATCACTAACCTATAAAAATACTAGAAGCAATTGCTAGTCCTAAACCAATGTAAAAGTTTGTCATATCGTAATGTATATCATTGCTCGTCATTTCTGGAACAGAACTCATGTCGCACTCTATCAAATCGATATTGATTCCCATTCAGTTGTACAGATTTTCATTTTTAACCGATTACATTCGGTAATATGCATCAAAATGACTACAAAATTGTTCACAATTTTACATACTGTAAGAAAAGTATCCCAACTTCTGAGAAATCATACGAAAAATATCCTATGAGAAATTGTAAAATATTTCATCAAGGATGAGCGTAAAGGCCGCAGCACACACTTTTGCATAAAGGCGTCATTTCACGCAGCAACAAGACAGTGCTTAGAGCATATATACATGGAGAGGGAATAGCCAATTCAAAGTGTGTCCAAGATCTGTGCGAGTGAGATGGATATAAGTTCCTAATCGTCTTCTGTGCGCATGTGTTAAAATTATCAAATGCTACGCTCAAGTAGTGACCCTCTAATAAGAGTCTGGACACGTGAAGTCCGCCATTATTCGTCGAAATTGTGCGAGAGAGAAAAAATCATGCTATCTCATTCTAGTGGCGCTGTAAGTTGTAGCTGATTGTAGCTCTACAAACTTCATAGTTTCTGTTTCTGTTTCGTCTCGCCTCATGCATCATATCATTTTTAAGACCAAGACCATTAATATTCGAAGAAGAAGAAGAATCATTATGATTAATATTATTATATTATTATATTATATTATTATATTATATATTATTATTATATTATATTATTTTATTATTATATTATTATTATATTATTATTATATTATTATTATTATTATTATTTATTATTATTATTATTATTAATATTATTATATTATTATGATTAATATTATTATTTATATTATTTTTATTATGCGTTAAAGGAATATATGTTACATTTTTGTTATATGTTAAATATAATAATTACAAAAACATTTTTATTAAATATAAATACTGTATATCTAATATACATAAATAATATGAAATATACATGAAATATTTTTTTCTGCATAAATATACTACTTTATTTATTCCCTATTGGTGCTACCTAAGTATTTTTTGTTAAAAATTTTAAAGCATTAATTGTATTATTTGTATTTAAATTTAATTTTTATTAAAGTTCTTAATCTTGTAATATTTTTATAAATTTTATATATTCTTAATATATTAATTTTTATATTTTCAATATATTTATAATACTTACTTAATTGTTGTTTTTATTTTATGAAAGACATATTGCAACGTTTTTTTTACATAAAAGTTTTTATAGAAAATATTTAATAATGTTAATATAAGTTAAATAATAATAAAAATAAAAATTGTAATTGATTCTACTTTAATTTTTACGAATTTATTAATTTTTACAATTTATAAATTTAAAGAAATTTACGGGAATGGATGATAAATGTCGGACCAATCACAAACCGGGGAGAAGGTGGCCAGACTCTTATTAGAGGGTCACTACGCTCAAGAAGACTAGAACCAGGGAGTCGATTGCATATTTTGAAAAGAGGTGAAAATTTCAAAAGTGAGTAAATTCACTAGAATATTTATAATTTCATTGGTCAACACCTAGTAAATTTGCTCACTTTTGTAATTTTCACCTCATTTCAAGATACACAATCGATGCCCAGGGCAGCGATCATGTAATTTCCAGTGGAACTTTTCACTTTTCACTTTTCACTTAGTGATTTCACGCGAACTTTTCCACGAATATAGTGCGATTATATAACTAATGAGCGGAAAGTGAAATTACCAAAAATGAGAGATAACCTTATTTACCTTGTAAATCACTGATAGATAGTAAATAAAACAAATAAACAAATAAAGCAATAACAATGAATGTTACAAGTAAACAAAAGGAAATGTATATATTATGATGAATAACGTGATAATAGTGAAATGTAAATGTTTACCATTTATACTTATAAAAATCTATATAATCTTAGAAATATCATTAATAAAAAAAAAAGATTGTTTTAAAGAATTGTTTTAAAGACAATCAAAATAATGTCAATTTGACGTCATATTGATATTATTTTGATTGTTTTGTTCTCCTTGGATGATAACTTTAGAAACTAGAAACGTTTCTTGCATCTCAATGTTCTAGTTACTTCGAGTCTGTCAAATATCGGTAGTGGGGGTAGGCCAAAAAGTGACGGCGGATAACTTCCCCCACTCTTGCGCTTCATTAGTCCTCTCTGTCGCTCTGATAGTCGTTTTCAATTCGTGACTGCGCATGTCAAACAAACCTTGTTTCTGTTTAATTGAATTTTGGACTCAAGAAGACTAAAAATCATACATATTTCAATATATGTTATTCCAACGACGACGGAAATATTAATAATATTCTGTAAATAAAAAAAAATTACTGTAATCATACTCCAAAATTTGTATACAATACAGAATTTACCTATAAACAAGTTATTTAATATACAGTATAATTTCTTTTTACAACTTAATTCTGTTTAAGATGGTTTAAGATTTTTTTCTTTTTTAAGTGTGTCCCTCGGATGAGGGGAAAATAAAGCGTCTCTAGCCCTAACCTTTTTGGGCTATATAACGCAAAGAAGACTTCTTGATAACCAGTGTTGTGCATAGATGATTTTAAAATTAGCTAGATAAAGATAAGATGAAAATTTGGAAATTTATCTTAGATAAGATAAAGATGATTACATTTAAATTAATCTAGATAATATAAATTTATCTGACAATTCATCTAAAAAATTTCAGATAATTTTTTATTTTTAAAACTATTTATAAATTAAGAATCAGTTTTTTCTCAAAATAATTAAAAAATCACGGTGGTCCTCGATTGAATTCAACCCTGACTTTCCTGCACCTCTGATTTTCCTTCTGGAATTGGTTTTGGAACATTTCAGGACCATTTTGCAATAAATATTAAAATCGAAGAGTGAGCACTTTTTTTTAAATCGAGTTTTTAAGTTTTAATCCATAGTTTCAATATAATCATTTCAAGCGTACATGTGGAAGGTAATTAAGTACTGAACGAAATGTAATTATTGTATATATTTTCTTCGAATTAAATATATATGTAACAAATAGCAAATAGTTAATTGAAACTAAAATATAAAATGAAGAACTTATTACTATACTTATATATTTATGAACGCATATAACACGTAACCGCGCGATTGTTTACGTACAAAACAAAACATACACACACACACACCACCACACCCATCCACACATACTCACACATACACATACAGGCACACGCACAAACGCATGTAAATATATAATTTTAAAAAATATGCAAAATAATTAAAATTCGTTCACATTGAAACATAAAAACTCGATTTAAAAAAAAGTGCTCACTCTTCGATTTTAATATTTATTGCAAAATGGTCCTGAAATGTTCCAAAACCAATTCCAGAAGGAAAATCAGAGGTGCAGGAAAGTCAGGGTTGAATTCAATCGAGGACCACCGTGAAATATTAAATTTTACAATTTTAATATGTAGATAATACTTCGTTTGTCTCTTACAATGTCTCTCACAATTTTCAAAAAAATAATGAAGAACACATAAAAATTCTATACAGTCCTTTTCCTCTATATTAGTTGCATGAAAGCAAGCATGTCATAATCATTACGGTTATGAATAATAGTGTATCTTATAATATTAATAATAACATTCTTTTAAATATAGTGAAAGACACAGGTCAAAAACTTTTTTCGATTTCGGATTAGTGTCATCCATGAATCGAGCATCGCGCACTACGATAAAACATCAACGAAGTGAGAAGTAGGAACAGTAGAGCGTGAATACCGACACGATACATTTCGATTTCGAGCAAAAAAAACACCGACTTTGGGCAGCTCTGGGTTAATCAATCAGAATTAAGTGTCCTAGTGCAGGAATAAAAAGATCATTTGAGAGCAATGTGAATGATTATATATGCTATATTAGATGCACTCACTCTCTTCCTGAGGCTGAAAATTTTTCTGTAAACATTAACTGCATAGAAGAAAAAATTATAATATTTTCACATTTTTAGCAATGTAAAATATGAACCAAAGTATCTAAACATTATTCTAGATAAAGATGATACTTTTTTTCATCTAAAATGCAGATAAAGATAATTAATATTTTTATTATCTAGATAAAGATGAGATGGCATCAAAATTTCATCTAGATAATTTTATCCAGATAAGATCGAACACTGTTGATAACGCAAAGGTTAAGAACAAGACTTCTTGGTTATAACCGACGTGCGCATGCGCAAACTTTCATTCAATGTGCAATGCCACTGCCATGAAGGAAGATATAAGGAGACTCCATTCAGTCTCGCCAGTCTACAAAACATGGACCCATTTTAGGTTTCGAGTTCAGTTTCCGATTCTTGACACTCGCAGCGCTCGTGAATTTAGTAGTGCTGCGCATAATGAGTGCGAGTAAGAGAAATGATCATTTCTCTTACTCGCACTCATCAGAATCGGAAACTGAACTCGAAACCTAAAATGGGTCCACTTTTATTTTACGGAGTGGAGTCTCCTTATATCTTACTTCCTGGCCACTGCGCATTGAATGAATAACCGCGGACGTTTATTGACCTACTCCCACCACGCTAGTTTACTCTCCTGGTTCTAGTCTTCTTGGTTGCGAGCGAGTGTCGCGCAGCATCGGGTAAAAATAAGAACAATGACTAGTAAGTATGTGAGTGATTTATTCTCTCTTTACGGCATGTGAAATTCGAAATTGTGCGAATATATATATATATAGGTGCATTTAACACAAAAAGAAACAAAAAAAATGCGAAAAATTCTTTTACTATATCGTTACCAAGTAGTTTCTGAAATGAGTAATTATAAGAATTAATAAGTGAATAATCGGGTTTACTTTATTATCCTGCATTGTCCTTTTAGTTCTATAAAGCACATTTTACACAGGATATTATCCTTGTTTAACTGTTGATGAATATAAGAAGGATATATTATGTGCATTATACTTTTTACGATATTATGTAAATTCATATTCGAGCAGTCTGAGTTCCAAAAAAAATTGACATTTTAAATCATATCATCTTTTTATCCATGACATTTTATACCACCATGTTTTATTTGTTATATTTAGATTTGGATAGAGAAAAGAAAGTAAACTATTTTAAAATTCAATCCTTAAAATCTTACAACTTCCAATTGTAATCAATCGTTAATTTAATAAACCTTACGAATTACCTGTTCATAAATACAAAAATTGTAAAATTTTATACAATTACTGAAATTTAAAATTTTTGTACACATTTTAAAAGTCCCTAAAGAGATAACTCATTTCATTTACTAACTGAGAACTTTAGAATTTTGTGAGTATTCCGCCTTTGTTACTACTTGAACTATGCATTCGTTCACAGAGATGGTATGTCCGTTTAGTGCCATTTTAACGATTAATCTTCCTGCATTATCAAAACCTTCTATTTGGCCATATGCATTGGACCGCTTGGCAGCAATAATTTTTATAAAACTTCCTTTTTGTATTCCTTTCTGTAACTCTTTTCCCTCTTTTTGAGTTTTCCCATCCTGTTTTTGCAATGCTGCTTTGTCCGCACCAAGTCCCATTCCTATGGGCCTTAATTCAGGTATAATAGGTGTTACAAGCCTGTCAAGTACATACAAAATGTGAAAATACAAACAAAATATATATAAATGTAAAAGAAACAAATATACTCTGTATCTGAAAATATATGCTGAAATAAAAATTTGGTAACATTCACTCACTCTCGATCCAGAAAAAAAGTCTTACCTTGGATTTTTACCAATTCCTTCACCAGGTTTCCATCCCATACCTCGTAACATAGCTGAACCAAAAATATTTAGCGGAACCTTCTCGTAATCTTCTAATGTACTCTATTTAGAAAAAAAGCATTGTATAAAATAGTTTTTGTATACCATTAAGTGAAAATTATTGTCGAGATTAAATATGCATAAGTGAAACAATTAAGCCATATTCAGTTAAGGCAGTTCTTTGTATCTAATAATATTTCTTGTCAATCCGTGCAATTTTCAATTTTATTTTCCTATAATTTAAAATATGAATCTAAATCATGTCATTAACAATCATAAAGAGGTACTCACTTCTTCTGCACCTTCTAAATTCTCTCTTTTAACTAAAGATAACGTTATATCATACAAATCATCTTTATTTTTTTCTGTTACATTGAGATCTTCTATAATTTCTTTAACTGCTTGCTCATCCAAAGTAAGAATTTTACTTTCAACAGACAAATCTGTTTTTATTTGCACATTAGAGGAAGAAACAATCCTATTAATCGATGTTAAATCACCATTGGATACTTGGTCTGATTCTTCCTTGATTTTAACTTTTTTTTGCCCATCGTCATTACTTGTTTTTGACTTTAAAGCATCTATTTTATTAACGATTCTATCGTGCCAGGTATTAGATTCCAATAATGGAATAATAAGAGGTTCTTCTTTTTTCTCTTCCTTCCTAAACAAATATATTTGATAACAATTGTTTAATTAAATTACGACATTTCAAAGTAGTAGTTAGTAGTTTTATATATATATATATATATTGGTTAAATAAAGATGAAGGTTACAGACGCAGTTTTGTTACAATGAATAAACTTTCTCAACTTACCCAATCACTTTAATCGCTTTATCATCTAGACATTCGATATAATCTACTTTTTTGTCTTGATGTAACTTTTGTTTGTCTAAAATTGGCTTTTTTACAGACTTTGCAAAACCGAAAGAAATTTTTTTGCTCTCTTCAGCCATTTTCGTATAACTTTATTGTATTATAAAAAGTTATCTCTCGTAATTTTGTTTTCTGTGAGATACATATATGTTTTATATAATATCGTTAAAAATTCTTTTTCTTCTGTCAACGCAGACACAGTAAGTTAATGTTGTATTTTGACTTGCTACAGAGAAAATACAGAGAAAAAACAAACGCGTTAGGCTGGAGTCACATTGAGCGGTAATTACAGCGGAACGGAACAACGAGACCAATCACAATCGCAGAAAGTAAAGCAGCGGAATGATTGTAGAGTTCTGATTGGTTTCACTATTCCGTTCCGCTGTAATTACCGCTCAATGTGACTCCAGCCT